GAAGCAATGGGTGGAAATTAATCAAGGAGAGAAGAAACTTAGAACTGAGGAGAAATTTCCTGACAGTTAGAACAATTAATCAGTGGAAGGGCTTGCCTCCAGAAGTTGTGGATGCTCCAACACTGGAAGTTTTTAAGAAGCTGTTGGATAGCCATTTGTCTGAAGTTGTGTAGGGTTTCCTGCCTAAGCAGGGGGTTGGACTAGAAGACCTCAAAGGTCCCTTCCAACTCTGTTATTCTATTCTATTATTCTTTGAGAACTCTCCTTTGCATGCTAGGTAGCAGGATATTATGAAACATCTCTTTTCAAGTCAGTAAAACAGCTGCTTCTTTTTTCAGGCTTACAGAGTATGTAGCAACGTCAGGAGCTGTTTCTGCCTGGGACTTTTATTCACTGGAAGACAGGTCCTTTGTATATACTCCTGAGCTTTGTGAAAGAGCCTTTTCAAGAAATCTACCCAGCCCTAGTTGGGATTTTAGGTTGTTCTTGAAAGTAAAATATAAAATATTAATCTCAACCTTTTTTAAGGCCATCAAAATTCATTGCTGTAACCATGAGCTTCACCAAGGAAATAAATTTAATAGGTTTATTATGAACTTAACTTTACTGGTGGATCTCTTGCATCCTAAGTGAGCAGGGAAACACTTATCTTCACTGTTTAAATGGCACTTTCCTTTTTCAAAATAAAGAATCCTATTTTTAGGCTTTAGAGCTGAAAAGACTAAGAATGAGAACTAGTCCAGTTTAGTATAATGATTAAGACACCTGTCTAGAACGGAAAGACCATGAGTTCTAATCCCTCTTTAGGCATGTCTCGGTCGCTGTCACTGTCTCTCAACCCCATCTACTTCACAGGGTTGTTCTTGTTGTGGAGAAAATAGGAGGAGGAAGGAGCGTTAGATATGTTTGTTGCCTGGATTTGCTTATAAAAATAATAAAGACAGGAAGTTAAATAATTAAGTACATACATACATTCAGGGGACATGGTGGCTCAGTAGCCAAGATGCTGAGCTTGTTGATCAGAAAGGTCAGCAGTTTGGCGATTCGAATCCCTAGCGCCGTAATGGGAGTGAGTTCCCGTTACTTGTCCCAGCTTCTGCCATCCTAGCAGTTTGAAAGCACGTAAAAATGCAAATAGAAAAATAGGACCACCTTTGGTGGGAAGCTAACAGCATTCCATGCACCTTTGACATTTAGTCATGCTGTCCAAATGACCATGGACATGTCTTCGGACAGCTCTGGCTCTTCAGCACCGTCCCCTAGAGTGGGAACGACTAGCACACATATATGAGGGGAACCTTTACCTTTACTTTATACATGCATGCATGCATGCATGCATTCATGCATGCATGCATGCATGCATACATACATACATACATACATACATACAT